TATTTTGCCACAAGGCAAGAAATTCTGAGGGCCACCAGAAACCGAAACAAGTAAGGAAGAATTTTCTCCCTAAGTCTTTGGAAGGAACAGGACTCAGCCAACACACAGATTTTGGATTTCTGGCCTTTAAAACTTAAGGAGAATAATGGGACCAGCAGATGGCATAACAGTTACATCACTGGACTCCCATGTAGTCGACTACAGTTTGAGTCTCAGACCCAGCAGCTTAAAACTCACACCAGGCACCTGTGCGTGCATGCCCAAAAATCCCAAGAGAAGAATGGAGGAGAAGGGATTGCAGCATGGCCATCCTCCCTGGGGGGTGATTTCTCACTTCCTGTCTCTCTGACTCTCTGGTGAGCACACATGCCCTATAGCAAGAAATCTCTCTAAAAAATTTAAAATAAATAAATAAATAAATTTAAAGAAAAAAGAAAGAAAGAAAGAAAAGAAAAGAAAAAAGAACTTAAGGAGAATAAATTTCTACTGTTTCAAGTCAACAACTTTGTGATAATTTTTGCAGCAGTCCAAGGAAACTAATATAGTATCCATCGCTAAAACTGTACCTGTCTCGCCTATCAAAGCAAACTGTAAATTCCATGAAGTTTCATGCCCAAGCATTCATTCTTACAAATCTTTCACCCAGTCTTTCACAAAACTGCTATAAAACCACAGAAGGAAAAAACAAGAACAGGGAATGAGTGCTGAGAAAAATATGGGATATTGTTCCTATGACATTTCAAATACCAGTCTATTATTTTTTTCTACTATCTTTTACATATATAAGAAAAAGAAATCATAACGCAATGCTTTCCTCCATAGCTAAGTTATCTAATTGTTCGATGGTCAGTTTTGTTACTAAAAATATCAATAACCATGTTTTCTCGGTAGTAATACTTGTTATAAAGCCTTCCTCTTAACACCTAACACTATTCACATTAGCTTTTTTTTTTTTGAGAGAGAGATTTTTGCTATAGGGCGCGTGCACTCGCCAAAGAGATAGAAAGTGAGAAATCACCCCCCAGGGGGGAAGGCCATGCCGCAATCCCTTCTTCTCCATTCTCCTCTCGGGATCTTGGGCAAGCACACACACGCACCCGGCATGAGTTTAAGTCACCGGGTCCAGGCCTCGAACCACAGTCGACTACGGGGGAGTCCAGTGACATAGCCATTACGCTAACTGCTGGTCCCTTCACATTAGCTTTTGACAGTGGAATATGCAGCTGTGCATTGACTATTCCAGTTCTCCCTCTAAAATAAGCATGATTTTATTTCCTTTCCCCACACACACACAATTTTATTTCTTGCTCCTGCAAAGACCCCTATGGTTATGAGAGATTTCCTCTGACAACTTTTCTCCACATGTTGGCTCAGCATGCCATACTGCTTTGACCTTATGGCATCTCAATAACAACCTTTGTTGCTATAAATGCTACAATCGAAGTCATTGTAGATGAGTCTTGTACTGCCGGTTACATAATTCTGTGTGGAAATGGTACACATCATTCAAATTTCATTGGTCAAAGAAAATCACACACTCCTCTACCTCAAGGCAACAGGGAATTTAAATCCTCTAGTAGTCCCAGAAGAAGAGGAACAGAAATATTGGTAGTGGCTACCAAGATAAACTACTATTTTTCATTCTCCTTTATTTGTATTCCTGACTGACCACAAGTCTCAAAGGTGCCTCAAATAATAGCTCATTTTTCAAATTATTTATCTATTATGACATCGAAATACAGAATTATAATTCTAATTTTAAAAAGAAAGTTTTTGTGATTAGCAGATGGAGAAATGCTTGTCATTAGACTTCCATATTTGACTGAGGTTCAAGTACCAGAACCAGCAGCTTAAAATTCATGCTGGGCATGTGTGTGTACACGCGTGCCCAAGATTCCAAGAGGAAAATGGAGAAGGGATTGCAGTGTGGCCATCTCTCCCCCAGGGGTTGATTTCTCACTTTCTGTCTCTCTGGTGAGTGCATGGACCCTATAACAAAAATCGAAAGAAAGAAAGAAAGAAAGAAAGAAAGAAAGAAAGAAAGAAAGAAAGAAAGAAAGAAAGGAAGGAAGGAAGGAAGGAAGGAAGGAAGGAAGGAAGGAAGGAAGAAAAAGAAAGAGAAAGAGAAAAAGAAAGGAAGTTTTTTTGGCCAGCCAGTAGCCTAGTGAGTAAGGGAGCTAGATCTCACATAGCCCACTATAATTCAAACCCCAGCCTGCAGCTTGAAAAACACACTGGGCAGATTGCCCCAAATCCCAACATGATGAAGAAATGGAGGAGAAGGAATTGCAGCTTGATAACACTCCATGGGAGCAGGTGTGCTTTGTCCCTCTTTATCTCTATCTCTCTGGAGAGCACACATGTCCTCTGCTAATAAAAAAAAAAGAAAAGAAATAAACTCTTACCAAGATTTCTACCTTGTATTTCAGGCAATGCAAAAATAACATTTCCTAAATATTAAATTAAGATATCAATTTGAAAATAGAAGTATAATTTCCTGAAACCATAGTCATAAACCAAAACTAATTACTGAAGTTGAATAATTCAAAATTAATCATTCATGTTGGATCAAGATTTTGCTAAGAGGAATGATACTTTTTTTTTTTTAAGTTTTGCCAGAGCCAGCAGTTGGTGTAGTGGTTAAAGCACTGGATTACCACATGGCCAACCACAGTTTAAGTCCTGGACCCAGTGGCTTCAAAATCATGCTGAACATGTACCTAAAATCTCAGGAGGAAAATGGAGGAAAAGGGATTACAGCTAGGCCATCCTCCTTGGGAGGTGATTTCCCACATTCCCTCTCTCTGTCTCTCTCTCCAGTGAACACACACACCCTATTACAAAAACTAAAAAGAAAAAAGAAAAAATTGCCAGAGGGCAGGTTATTTGTTGGAGAGAGAGAGAGAGACAAAGCACACCCCATGGGGGATGGTTACACCACAATCTCTTCTCTATTTCTCCCTCCTTTTGGGATTTTCAGCAAACACGCACAGGAGCTCAGCATATTTTTCAAGCTACTGGGTCTACAACTCAACCACACAGCCACATGAGATCCAACCACTTCAACCACCATGCCACCAGCTGACCCAGCAACTATAATTTTTGTTTTTATTGGGCCATTTGAAAATTGGAGCCTAGACAGAAAAATACTAATATTCCCAATATGCACTACTTAATCACTTTTGTCTCATTTTTTCAGATAGACAACAAAGATGTGAAGCTCTAATGTTAATGGACAACTAACAACCAAAATTAATCCAATTCCACAAGAATGGTTATAATCTGATAATAAGATCTCAAATGAATAATATCACTTTTAAAGGATATGACCCCTATTCCCTATTTTAATGTCTAATTTAAATTGTAAACATAGAGCCCAGCAGATGGCAGAACAGTTATGCCACTGAACTCCCATGTGTTCAAACATGGTTCGAGTCTTGGACACAGGGGCTTCAAACTCATGCTGGGCACGTGTGTGTACATGCCCAAAATCCTGAGAGGAGAATGGAGGAGAAGGGATTGCATTGTGGCCATTCCCTCTAGGAGGTGATTTCTCACTTTCTATCTCTCTTTCTCTCAAAAAAAAATCAAATAAATACATGCATACATTATAAACATACCATGGTATTTTTCCCCTAATTCTTGCCAAAGACTGGGTATGATAATTAACATATGAAGGGTTACAGAATCAGGGTGCAGCCTATTTCTTAAAATGCTCTAAGAAGCAGATCTTTATCACATCAAATATCTGGAAACTTAACTATAAATTATATTAATTTCTCATAGAACGTTTTTACAACATGACTTTTCATGGGATTAGTTTGTATGTTTGAATATTTCCCAAGCAAAAATATGTTCATTTAATATGTGTGTAACTTCAGAATTAAACATAGGAAATAGAATTTAACATTATGTTCATGACTGAAGGACTAACAAATACAATGATGTCTATAATAAGTACATTTTAGTTGGTTTTACAAAACTGGTATAAAACACACTTATCAGTATGTTGATCTCCCTTACATAATGGTTCAGTAATCAAACCTCCCTTGGTTTTATAGCAGGAAGAGAGTATTTTTCCTCTCCTCCGTAATTGGTATAGAGGATTTCTCTCTCTCTCTTTTTTTTTTTTTTAAAGAATTTTTTTATTTGGGGCCAGCAGGCAGCATGGTGGTTAGGAGTGCTGGACTCCCACATGGCCAACCGAGGTTCAAGTCTGGGACGTGACAACTTGCTTTCTCACTTTTTTTTTCTCTCTCTCTTTCTCTCCCCCTCTCCCACTCTTGCTCTGTCCCTCTCTGGTCAAATTAAAATAAACAAATAAGTAAAATCCTTTATTCCCTCTCTGTCTCTTTGTCTCTTTCTCTGAAGAGCTCACCTGCCCTGTGGCAAAGAAATAAAAACTATCTGATTATTGATCTTATTATTGAAACTTAGCAACAAAAGGAAACATATATAGTGTTTGTAACTAGGCCTAGAATTATTTGTCCAGGATTTGACATTTCACTAGGAAACACATGGTAATAGTAAACCTGAAAGTGTCACTTTATTTGAACAAGGTGAGATTCTATGTTAAATATGATCAACTCTACTTAGCTTTGAAGTATTTTTTAAAGTGTCCTAAAATTAAAATGAAGAAATTCTCCCTACATATTTTTTGGTGCTATTGTTTCCTAGTTCCATTAACAATCCAGCTAAAAACAGGACCCACAGGTGGCTTGGTGGTTACAGATGCTGGATTCCCACAGGGCCGACCGCAGTTTGAGACCTGCACCTGGCAGCTTGCTTTCTGGCTTTCCCTTTCTCTGTGTGTGTCTCTGTCTAGTCAAATTTAAAAATAGTAACATGAAATTAAATAAATAATTATTTGAAAACAGATCAAGCTACAATTAATGAAATACCTACCCTAAATGATGTGTTATTTCAAAGTTAGTGAATACCTCAGACAATATTTCAAAAGTGACATTCGTAAAGATGGTTAAATAAGCCTAAATATGCATTTAAACTAAAAGTTTGAACGTTGGACTTACATTACTGGAGATATCTGAATTTGCTTCTGAATGTTCATTTCTTTCCGACGGATTCAGGCCTGGAGGTAGCCCGGGGCTGAAGGCCATGAGGTCAGTCTTGGGAGGGCCCTCCCCAGAGCACACCCTCTGACTCCTCCTCTGCTGAGAGTATGACCAGCTCCCCACCGCGCTGGAGCACACCAGCGTCGGCTTCCCAGGCCCGCAAGCGCCCTCTGGGGGCGGCGCCGAGCACCGCAGCGCCGTGTACAGCAGCAGCGTGAGCACCAGCAGGCTGGACACCGCGCAGATGGCGATGATCAGGTACACGTTCACGTCCACCAGGGTCGACTCGGGGCCAGCAGCGCCCACCATCGCCCGCGAAGAGGCCTTAGGCGCCTGGCCGCTGTCCACCAGAGACACCAGCACCGTGGGCGGGGCCGT